TCATGACCAGTAGCTTTTTATCATTGGGGATGTTGGTAGGAAAAGAATGACTTGAAAGCTCCTGCTTGGTGATGTGGGCAGATGGATGAAGTGTGTATTTCTCAAGGATTTCAAGTGCCTTCCACAAAAGACTGCCTTTCCTCTTTCAATCTTTTCATATAAGTTGTAGTACCAGAAATAGGCTATGACAGGGGTAATGTAGTAGCTGGGGTTTGTGCCCTAGAGCACTGCCCAAGCTGCATACTCCTACTGCTAGGACCCAAGGGCTCTGAATTTGGTTAATGGCAGTATGCACAATATAGAATTGTGATCTGGGTTCTGGCCCCAGCTACAGGTGAAGTAGTTGTCTTGTGTGACACAGCAGCAAGCTATGGAGAAGAGCCTAACTTATAAGGAGGTACAGGTGAGTCAATCTAGCCTTCCCAGCTATTCATGTCCCTAGCCATAAGCCCAAGTCAACAATCACCACTTCACACAGTTTCTAGGCTGGCAGACACCAAAACTGTCCACCATCCTCGGATTCCCTATTTAGGGGTGCAGCATATTTCACTCTGTGGCTCTGGAGGTATAGTTACTATTCAGCAGTATAGTGTCTGCCCCTGCTGGCACTGCTCTACTCTTCTGGTGCTCTATTGCAGTGTCGCCTCCCTTACTATAGTTCTCCGGATATAGAACCCTCAATCCTGCATGTCAGCTATGTGTGGCATCTCCCTACCCTGCCCAGCGACTCCTGGGTTCTGAAGACTGAGATGTGGGCCTGACTCTTCCATCCAACAACAGAGGTTCTGTATAGCAGCCGCCCCTCCTTCTCTTGGATTCTGCTACCTGGTTATGTTCCAAACTTGATCACATTTCAGATTTTTTAACCCATCTGCCATGCTGTTCCTTTTTATGCATTATAATGATCATTTGGTCAAGTTTAGATATAATTTGGCTCTAAATATGTGGAGAAGGTAAACTGGTGTGTTCACTGTTCACTCTTTCACATCTTGCTGGAATCCCAAAACAGCTGTTTAGACTCTTGCTCCTCAAAATGTGGTTTACAAGCCAGTATGACCTGTGATCTTGCTAGAACTGTAGAATCTCAGGCCTAACAACAGACCTACTACACCTGTTTTTAAATGACTATTATGCTCACGAAATCTTGAGAAGTAATGATTAAGACAGTACTCCTTAAACGATGGCCAAAACTGGTTTAAAGTTTTGACTCTACCTTCAACAAGGCCTCAAAAAAAGTCTATCACTCGATTAAATTTGGACATAGTGAATAAGTTTTTCCTTCACTTGCTAAGAATACTTTTGCAGCAATTTTTTGGTAATTACTGGGTTTTTTCAACACTACTTGGGGTAAGAACTTAGCCCAATTTCATCTCTTACCTTCACCCCTCATTCCTTTTTTTCCCTCCCTCCACCAAACCACCAAGGCCCATACACCATCTCATTCTAATTTCCATCCAGTCTAAACAGAAGAGCAATATAGCACATGCCTAGTCAGAGTTTTACCTTAGAATGATCAGCACCAAGTCATGACCTTGCAGGAATAAAATGTAGTATCAAATGCTTCTCTCATGTATAGATATTATTCTATGACTTTTAAGTTAGGTTAATATAGTGGATGGTGTTGTATGTGGAAAACAGAAAAACCAAATCAGTAATAAATAAACTCTTAACATCTGACTAAAATTGAAGCAACAGAGGGAGAAGGTGTTGGGATGGGAGGGATGCAATGGAAGGAGGTTGAGGATTGTTATAGCTATTTGAACCCATAAACCCCAGAGCAGATGTACAGATGTAAATCTACCTCAATAAACATAATGGGGGGAGGGGAGAGGACAGGGGGAACTTGCTGGAAATATCTAACCAAATGACAAAATGAGCCAATTTTAAAGGGAAAACAATAGCTTCATCTAAAAGGGTTTCAAACACTTACTGATGCTCGCTAGGTTTATAAAAGCACTCATGTGGAACAACAATGAAGATTGCCTGTGTGTCAATATCTACTCCTTTGGATATATTTCAAGGAATTTTCTCTTAAAACCAGTTTTAGTCCTTATTTTTTACTTTTTGTCAGGGTTAATTCCTTATTGTACAATAATAAAAAAAATCTCAGTATCTTCAGAAAGTATAAATACAAGGTAGCCATTTTTTCTACATTAACTTCAAGAATCTCTTTAGCCAAAGTAAAAAAAAAAAAAAATCATATCTAGATACTGAAAAACTGTCTGACTTCTAATTCCAGACTCTTCTTCTCTTTAATATCATAAATCTAATATTCCTACATCCTACAATAAAATGGACTGAAAAGGGTTGTTGTGGCTCAGCTAATACTACAAGATAGGAAAATGTATTGATACAATTCAGTGTTCAAACTGCAATAAAATTTCCTTTTCTAGTTTTCACTAACACACTGTTCTTTTGTCTAAGGTTCCTACTTTCTCCTTCAACATGATTGTTGACCTTGCTGAAAAAGAGGACCGAGTTGTCTCAGACTTATCATATGGTTAAAATCTGCCTTATTTGAATAAGCTCTAAAGAACACGCTGTTGAAGAAAGGTCAATTAGTTCTAAACAAAAGATTCAGTTCATGAGCAGCTCCTACAGAGCTACTTCCTACAGGGGGAAGCCAGTATCCCCTGCTACTCTAGTGTTGAAGGGACAAAGGAAGCTGTAAGGGAATGCACACATTACCAGCTGGAGTCCCCAGAGTTATAATTTCTGACAACACCTACAGGAGAGTCCCACATCAGCATTTTCCATGATTTGTCTGAATCTTGTAATTGGAAAAAGTGGCGCTAAAAGACATCTAGTCTATAGTGGAATCTGAATGACTTTTTTTTCCCTCCATGGTGATTTCAGCCATGCCCATTTATTTTATGCCCACATCCATGCTGCATATTTCACACTTTGATTGTGCTCACAGTCACTTACTTGACTGATACCTCTGCCACAAGAAGCTCCCACTCCATCTATATCCAGTCATCATAATATTGCTTCTCAGTCTCATCAAGAAACTTGCCTGTTCAAGAAATCAGTGACTCCCTATTTCTCAGCATGTCACAGCCAAAGTTCTTAGCTGGCATTTCAAAACCCTCCACATTTCAAATCTATTATTATCTTTACTGTACAAATGAGAAAACTGAAGCCTTTTGAGGCAAACTGCCAGGATCACTTAGTACAGGAGGTAAAATTTTAGCCCAGGAAATTGGGTTCCAGAGTATATGCCCCTAAGGAATTATACTGCATAGTCCCTCTTAAAAGTTTGGTGTGTGAATGTTACCTTGCAATTGCATTTATGGGTGCTTGGATATATCCCCAACTACATTATTCTTGGAATCTAATTCATTTTTTAGGTTCATATACAGTAGACCATATGTCTAGTTAATATGACTAGTATTACACTAGAATGGTCATTTGCAATATTTCAACTGCTTAGAATCAAAGTTCTCTAAGTGGTGATTAGAAGATCCTTAATATGGTTAAAATCATTTTTGTTAAGTCACATTCTTATCTGCTGCAGTTTCTATGTTCCCTTATCTAATAATAGTTGGGATTAAACTTTTCTATAGTCTGTTCTGGTATAGGAATTTGCAATGCTGTTATCTAAGCAGAGGCTTACAAACAAAAACCATCACCTATCTGGACATAATGGAAAAACACGCCTGCCATGTTAAAGGTATTCTAGAAATAAAAGCAAAAATGGTATTGTCAAGCATGATGTTATGAACTATCCAGCATTTACAATGCAAAAAATTGAATCAACATTTTATACACAACCTGGTTTCCATAAATGGTGAAACATACAAAATTAAAAAAATGGCAAGTACTCCATTGGGAAGGCACTATAAATGTACATTTCCTAAGAAAAGGCAGCTAACCATAGCTTTATTAAATGCTAGGCAGAGTTCATGTAAATTAAATATTCATGCTCAGATGAGTATTTGAGTAATTCCAATTAAGAGGGGAAAAAAGGAAATCAATATATATATATATTTAATTCTACCAAGTTCCCAGCAATTGAAAATAAAAGGATAAATGGATAATGATCATAAGAAGTAACTATATAGTATCCTCTTCTATCTTGTGGTTTTTTTACCATACATTGTCAGCTAAAATGACCTGAAATGTTTCAAAAGAAATCTGAAGCATTATTATTTACAATCCAAATTAGTCAAATAAGCACATGACATTTGTGTTGATGGAGTTTCCACTTCAAAGAATTGGGTACCCATAGTTTCTATTCTTTCATGGATAAACCCACTGTCCCCTGGTGTTACAACTAACAATTTATGCCCCAAGTTTATGATAATACCATTACAACTAACAATTTATGCCCCAAGTTTATGATAATACCATTATGATAATATTCATTAAATCACCCTATTTTTGAGTGATTCCTGAGCAGACAAGAAGGTTGGAGTAGTTTAAGTGACAGATAGGTCCTCTGCTCATAAGAGGAACATCGAACACTGAATGCCCATTTCCCAATGGCAATCTTAAAAAATGAGCAAAATAAAAAAGCAAGAAATCACATATAAATATGGCTCAATTAAAGCGGCTCATATTTTGGATTAGACTGATCAGAATAAAAATTTATAAATAAACAGAAAGCAGTAGTTTAAAAGAGCTCTAAACTTAATCTGATAATTTATAACAGTGAGATTTAAATACTTTTGATATAACCATCTCCAAAATGTTTTTTTTTTTTTTGCTATTATTTGCAAACAATAAGAAACCAAAAAAATCCCACAGGTTAATATTTTTCTGATATACATATGTCTTAAGAAAATAAACAGTATACACACATCATTATTTTATCCATTCATTAAATATTTACTGAGTACTTCCAACACAGAAGGCATTTTACTTTTAATCTTTTACCAGCTGCATTACAATCCCACACACCTCACGCTCTATATCATTTTCCAATTTGTACTTCTAACTGGACTAAAAAAAAATACAAGGTGGATACCAGGCTTGTTGGGTAAGGGTTAGCACAATACCTGAATTCACAATAAGGTCATGTTAGATGATCTTGCTTTGGCTTGGACCTTGTCCAGTCTCCGACACAGGACTTTATTTAAGAAAGCTTGACTTGCGAGGCCCTCATAGGTTGCCTGGTCTAAACTCTTCAATACACAGGTGAGACACTAAGATGCAGAGAGGAAGAAGAAATGGAATAAATACCACATGTCTGCCTGAACCTGTGATTCTCTATCACAGTCTAGCATCAACCTTGAGAAGTCTGATGCAGTGCTATTACTTCACAGGCCCTGGACATTTCTGTCTTTGTGGTCCTGACTCCATAAAATTTTTAAAATGACATATTATGACTGCTTGGTTATGAATACAAATATTAATAATCACATGTTAAAACATTTTAAAAGTTCATTTTTCTTCTGATTTTAAAAGACATTAAAATATTTTTGTGAGTTCCTAAAATGTACTGAGGCTGCTGGGCACTAACGGATAAGATGGTTTTAGGCCCTTCAATTGATCTGCTATAATCCAAGAGATCTGCTCTTGTCACAGAGTACTTTGTACATGTGGCTTTTCTATGATTCAGGATGTACTGGCCATAGAAGGCTAGTACATTCATTACCAGGCTATTCCAGTGATTCTCATTCCAGCAGCTCTTCAGAACCTACTTCCTGTTTCTGAATCAGGTAGTTCATTAGGAAACCACTGCTAGACTGTGGCCTCCTCAACAGAGATCAACTGCCAAGTCTCTAAGAATAAAAATAATTTACAGGACCCCAAAAGCATATAATAGGAATTTGAAGCAAATCACTTCACTGGAATTTATTATCTTTCACAATATGACTAATAATCATCAATGTTACTTTAAGTACATGCAGGAAGTTTTTATCAACTAGATTTGATTTTATTTCCAGTATATTTACTTGGTAAAAAGGCTCTATCAGTTATAATATGAAAGAAGGTACAATTATTGTAATCAAGGAAAAATCAAAGATGATCCTATTTATTCCTGATATTTATGCCTTTTAAGAATACTGCAATTTAAAAATGGAATTTAACATTCATATAACACCTACTTTGGGCTCAGTGCTAGTCTCATATTCTTTAGTACCTCAACAATGATCACTTCTCAAAACCTCCTGACCACTTTGGCCATACGGTATATTGAAAAAGCTTTATTTTTATTTATTCATACAAGAACAAGGGTGTAAGCTAGGGGTACTGGAGGTGAGAGAATTCACAACAGACAGTAGAGTGGGGAGCAGAATAGGTGGTCTGACTTAAATACACTGCAGAGGGGAGCAGTGGGTGAGACATGAGAGTTCTGTTGCGCCATGTGGGTCAGCTCGGGGCTGGGGATTGAACTTATGCCATGAAGGTTGACAATAGCTTGAGAGTGCTAAGACATTAACCCTTGTGCCACTGAGTAGGCCCTTTTTAGATGTTTCTGATCTTTAAAACCATAAATATTATTTTGTGAGAATGATATCCCAGAGTGATAGGTATACACCTATCACATATACAAAGATTAATACAATACTGTCAAGAAACTAACTTCAAGCAAGTTAGCAAATAATATAAAATATTATAACCTATATTTAAAATCTGGTTCTTTAATATTGAAGACTTAAGTTTTTCCTTAATTCTAGGAAACTGTCTACTTCTCTCCCCAAGTTTTGTTCTATTTTTTTTCTGGAACTGATAAAAGATTTTGGAATTGCTATATTTACTTTCCACTTTTCTCAATTTACCTTTATTCCTTCCCAAAGCTTGGCCCTTCCTTTTATACTGTCCTCAACATCGACAAGCTTTTTAAAATTTTTTAAAAATAGGCCCGCCCTGTGGCACAGTGAGTTAAATAAAGCACAGCACTGAGAAGCTAAAGCTACTTCAGCATGAGTTCAATCCCCAGACCTGGAGGTGACCCACATGGCGTGGCAGACCTCTCCTGGCCTGCCCGTTGCTCCCCTCAGCAGTTTACTGCATCAGTCGGCCTGTTCCGCTCCCTACTCTCTCTCCCGTGAAGCCTCTCACTGCCCCTACATCTCTGGCCCCAGTTCTGTGTGCATAAATAAATAAATCTTTAAAAAAAATTTTTTTAAATAAATGTTTACAGCTTTTCTCTGAAGATACTAGGTATATTTATTCTCAAGTTGTTTTGCTTTCTGTATTAACTCTTGATTCCTTGGTTATTATTTCACTGGTAAAGTTTGGTACCCTCCATAATAATATCAGTTAAAAAATATTTTGTGATTTTCTTAGCAGATAGATTCCTTTTTGTTTAGACTTTAGAGATACATTGGTAGTTTTTGACTGATGTATATGATTGATTTTAGGGGTATGGCAAGATTTGCCACTGGTAAATCTTGGGAGGCTTCCTATGTATTCTGGATAGTGACAATATTAAAGTACTGTGGCATTTAAAGCACCCCACTGATTGGTTTTGAATCACACATACCAAGGGAGAAAGAATATAAGGAGAGTTAAGTACACATATTTTACTACATATAAAGCACCCCTCAAGTCAATTTTACAGTATTCCACTCTTGCACCTGTTTTAGATTATGGTTCTCATACGCATTCCAATCCCATTTTTCAGATATTCATCATGGCTTTTGGTCAATTTTGCTTTTTGTTTTCCTTCACAGTTGGTTTTTTTTTTTTATTTAAAGATTTATTTATTTGTTCATACAGAACTGGGGAACAGGCCAGAGGTGCAGGGGCGGTGAGAAGATTCACCGGAGACAGAATGGGGAGCAGAACAGGCAGATCGTCGAAGTACACTGTTGAGGGGAGCGGCGGGCGGGTCCGGAGAGGTCACCTGCGCCATGTGGTCAACTCTGGGGCAGGCGGGGATAGAGCTCATGCGGAAGTGGCTTTAGCTTCTCAGTGCCGTGCTTTAACCGGCTATGCCACCAGGGAGGGCCCTCACAGTTGTGTTTGATGGACACTACATATAAATTTTGGAGGAGAAGGAAGGTCTATTTTTAGGATGTGAAGTAGCAAAGAAAAGCTGCAGCATGTTCTCAGTGTACCATCATGTGCTGGAAGTCTCAAATGGTTATCTTTTGGCAGAGATAAATGGGCAGTATTATACACATTTTTTAATGGAAAATACATGTTCTTTTATTATACTTTCTATTAAAGTGTGGTCTCATAATAGGAAACACAGAGTGTTATTCTAAACTTAGATACATACTAGGTTTCTAAACCTAGATACATACTATAGCCTGTGGCACTGCTTAAATACCAGAAATTCCATCTTAACTGGACTGGGTTGAAAACAGTACAAAACCACAGCACAAGACAATTTGGAATTTAAATCACAATAACAAATGCTCACTGAATGTTTACTTCTGTCAAAGAAGCCAAAGAACCCCATTAAAAACAAACAAACAGGACATCCCTTCATATGCCAAAATATTAAGATGACTAATACTTATTTCCAAATGTCATGTAACTGTTAATAAGAGTTAACAATCAGGCCCTCCCTGGTGGCGGAGCGGGTTAAATCACTGCACTAAGAAGCTAAAGCCACTTCCGCATAAGTTCGATCCTGGACTGCCCTGGAGGTGATCCACAGGGCGCGGCAGACCTCTCCTAACCGGCCCGCTGCTCCTCTCAGCAGTGTACTTCATCTATCTGCCTGTTCTGCTCCCCGCTCTGTGTGTGGTGAATCCTCTCACCTTCCCTGCAACTCTGGCCTGTACCCAGTTCTGTATCCATAAATAAATAAATCTTTAAAAAAAAAAAAAGAGTTAACAATCATAGTCAGGTATTTTAAACTAGAAAGACTGTGAGATTTACAGTGTTCCAGTCAAATTTTAATTTCTTTTCAAGACAACTGTTACTACAAGATTTCTGAGCCATTCTTTAATCATATCTTTCAATATCTGAGAATAAAAACAGCTAGTAACAATGGCCACCTAGTTACATGTTTCTGTACTCATTCAAATATTTTGTGAGAAATAGATGAACACTTTAAAGTTGCAGGAAATGAGCAGAATAACTAGAATGCTGGGGGACTTGGGAATATAAGCACTTTAGGGTCTCTGATGCATGAAACAATCCAAACCTAATTACAGCCAGCTGTAGACATCTATTTTCAAGGATGTTTATTAGCTCATTAGCCAAACACAGTGATGCCCATTTGCTGACAAGTAAATATGCATACCTTTACCATTTGTATCATTCAGAAGCATAAGAATGTCATTTGACAAAACAATAACTTCTTTTGATAAGCACTATTTATTGGATTCTTTGAAAAGTTTAAAACCATGTCCAAATGGAGCCATAGTTACCTATCTATCACTAATAGAGAAGAATTTTTCCCTAGTTCTTTAAAATGCTTAAATGTATATAAATTATTAATGTTCATATACATTGCATAATAAGACAATTTTTCAAACCTTTACTGTAGGTTCACAGCAGTTCTAAAACACATTAATAATAAAAACTTTAATTTAGATTTTTAAACATTAAAAGGACCTGACTCCTGTTGTACAGAATATATATTTATGCAAGGCAAATTACTGACATTGATTTTCAATGTAAAAGAACAGAGTCTATGACCAATAAGCATATGGAAAAGTGTTCAACACCAATAGTCATCAGTGAAAGGAAAATTAAAGTTGTAATAAAATACCACTATAGACTGACTAAATTTGCTAAATGACATAGTGTAACTACACCAAATGCTAGCTAGGATGTGCAGTAACTCTCATATTTTAAAGGTGGAAGTGAAAATCATGATAAAGGTCATTCATGCAAAAGCCATAGGTAACATGATACTCAATGGTGTTAAGACTGAGAGATTTCCCTCTAAAATCAAGAGAGGACAAGGCATTCCATTTTTTCCATTCAACACTATACTCCAAGTTCTAATCAGAACATTTACACAAGAAAAAAAAAAAAAAGGCATCCAAACTGAAAAGGAAGAAGTAAAATTTTCTTTACTCACAAATTATATGATCCTATAAATCAAAAAAAGTTAACACACACTTTAAAACAAAGTTTGAATTGAATGAATTTGGCAAAGTTGCAGAATATAAGGCCTCATTTCTATACACTGACAAAGGAACAATCTGAAAATGAGATTAAGAAAATAATTCCATACAGTAGCATCAAAAAGAAATACTTCAGAATAATTTCAACCAAGAAAGTAGAAAAT